ATTTTAGAAGTTTTCAACAAAGTCTCTTCGAGATATGAAGCTTTCAAGGTATAAGCCCTTATCCATAAGTACGTAGTTATACAACATGGATTTGTTGAAAGCTTCATATCTCGAAGAGACTTTGTTGAAAACTTCTAAAATTTTTTATGGAAGCTACTCTAGTTGAGACCTCTATATGCACAAAGTTTCAGATCAAAATTCGAAAATACAATTTTTCTGAGACCGGGAGTTCTACAGAAGCCTATAGGACATAGAGATACCATTTCTTAAGTTTTTATTCACAAAAGGGACAAGATCTAAAGAAACCGACATCGAAGCAGTTCTATACTCATCAAGTACTTTCATTTCATACTATTTCCATCGTGGGGGAAAAAACCCATGATTTTTGACCACCCTCTTTGATAAAAAGGATAAAGATAAAAGTTTCTGCATATTGTTAAAGTAGTTTTGAATTTTTTGACTTTATTCAATAAAATCAATGTTTCAGTTCTACAAATCATTGTAAATTGGGTTATTAATTTCTTCAATTTCTTTTCTCAATCATTTGTTTTGACACCATTCATTTATGCTATCTTTCATCTTTCTTTTATTTTCTCACGATTGATGCGTGTTTTCTGACTCATTTTCTTTATATTCGGAAATTTTGTTTTTCGTTATGGATATATTCTGTTATGCATTGAGTTTTTCCCCAGTCGTTTGATGATAATCTGTTGTTGATAAAGAGAAGTACTATTTGGTTTTATTGCTTATCAAGATTTCCGCACTTCTAATCTATAGAAAGAAGGAAGAAAGAAACAAGATTTCTCTACTAATTTCTGTTTGCGATTATTCATCATGGTATTTCATCGTTCTCTGTTAGTGTTTGATATTATCATACTCAAAGCAAATGCGCCTTTGGCTTATTTCAGACTCATGTGAAATGTGTGAATGACTGCTTATTTTTCTTAGTCTTTAGCTGAAATTATTTTTGTCAATATTTGTCGCAGCAACATAAGTTTTGATTTTAACTAAATACGATTGCTTTATCTGCTTTTATGCAGATCTGATTCTGAAAAACAATAACAAAATAAATTTTATAATTCCTATTTTTTTAAAATTTTCCCGCCTATTTTCCTGATTTTGAAACGCATGCCACTACGGTCCCTATTTTTATTTATTTGAATTTATGGGCTAAAACCTTGTCATTGCCTTTTCTGAGGGTCTGTAAAACTGTAAGAAGTGTTTTAGAAAATGGTAGATCACGTATATATGTGTTTATCCAAATGGTTAGATTCTAAAAAATATTTCGTGTATGTCTACCTGGTTCTCCACTGTTCTGTCACCTGATATCTTCAGCCAAATGCAACCAAAAAACTCTCTTCATCGGTAAACAATTGAATATGTTTTCTATTAAATAGTATCAATGAGCTCTTTTATAAGCCCTGTTCGCGTTGATAAAAAAATACTCAAAATCGTGCTTAGAAGTACTACTAATAATATTATAAAAACAAAGGTGTAAACTTTGACGAGTATTCAAAAACTAGTATTGCATTTTTCTGAATAACTTCGTTTGATGAGTGTCTGATATTTTCAAATAAGTCATATAGGTGTGTTATCAAGGGGAAACGACGTACCCCCCTTCTCCGTGTACTCCGCTGTACTCCCATTGTACTCCCTGGACTCCGGGAGTACAATGGGAGTACAGCGAATCCAAGAGATACAATTTTTATATACGAGACAGTATCACAGATACCTTCGTCGTCCACTTTAAATATTCTTATTTCCTTTTGAATGGCAGTACCTATAAGTCCTCTTGGTCTTTTCAATGGGGTACCCATAGGTCCTCAACGCCTATATTATGAGGTACCCATAGGTCTTGAAGACCTATATTATGAGGGTACCCATAAGTCCTCAAGGCCTTTCCTATGGGGTACACATAGGTCCTCAAGAGTTATCCTATGGAGGTACCCATAGGTCCTCAAGACCTATACTATGAGGTACCCATAGATCCTTAAGCCCTTTCATATGGAGGTACCCGTAGTATAGGTCTTGAGGACCTATTGGTACCCTCATAATATAGGTCTTGAGGACCTATGAGTAGCGCCATATAATAGCCCTTGAGGACCTAGGCATATCGCCATATAATAGCACTTGAGGACCTACAGGTACCCCATAGGAAAGACCTTGAGAACCTATGGGTATCTCCATAGGATAACCCTTGAGGACCTATGCATATCGCCATATAATAGCCTTTGAGGGCGTATGGATACTCCCATTGGATAATATCCACTTTATACTTTATTACCAATGTTTTTAAAGTTAAAGTAACACCCCAACTCCCATGTATTTCGTGTTCTCCCATACTCCCATGGTACTCGGAGTACGGGAGTACGTAATTTCTCCTTGTGTGTTATAGACTTCAAGTTACGGGTCCATAGTATAGATACCTAATAGAAAAGACCAGATTGTCTAGTCTTCAAAAGAATCTTAGCAGACCGAACATCTCCAGTAAGTATCATTTTATGACCCTTTTAAGGTCTTTTTTACTAGAAACGTTCAGACAAAAAGGTTCTAGTTGAAAATTCTAGAACCATAAATGGTACCCATTGAGTAAGTTCTGTATGAGTACCTTTTTTTTGACAGAGTACCTTTCCTGAATCAGCGAAACAGATATATTGTTCTTTCCTCTATTGTTCCTTTTCTTTAAGAAAATATTCAAACTTTTTGCTATTCTCAAAAAATTGATCCAATAGATTTCTACTAGTGATAGAGAATACTATTTTGTAAAAATCTTCATTGATATTTTAAAAACAAAAGAAATTTCAACTAATTTTTACGTTTAGCATATTCGGTTTTTGAAGCGAAATACGCAGCGCTACGATCACAATTGTTTGTCTGATATCTATAGCTTGCAAAATTAACCAATAAGAATTGTAATTGCATTTCGTTTCAAAATTTTTATCTGGGTTTTTTTTTGAAAGAAAGAAAAAGTAGAAGAACAGGTAATATCGTCTAACGTTCATCATTTGTGGGAAATATTTAATGTTCGTATTGTGCCTAGGAATTCCAATATAACTAATGTCAACATGAAATTCCAAATATGCAAAGATGAAAAATTGGAAGAGTTCGTCCTTTCATATTAGCAACGTTATTGACATTAAACTTCTTTTAAATTCTGTTATATTTATATTCTAAGATATTGAAGTACTGATCAACCTCTCTCGTTTTAGACAAAGTGTTCAATACACTTATCGAAACTTGGTAGACACTATTCATATTGAACTTAACCAGTGTTCGAATTTATAGTGAATGAATGTATTCCAGACGCTTGACAATTTTCCTTTAACAAATTAGAATCTTTTTCATTTATTTTGCACATTCATATTCATTTCCAAATTTAGAATATATTAATATTTTAGCTTTCCATTTTAGAAATCATATCTATCATCTTTTGTTTTTAAAATACGTTGTCTTTCTGCCAAGTTAATCAAGATACGTTTGTTATTTTGAATACATCCTCGTTATATACCCATCTACGAATCTAAAACAATAAATCGGCTAGTGTTCCAGATTTTCTAATTAAGATTTGATACAATTTTTTGATATTCTAGTTTAAAATATATTTTTAAAAGTTAATTAAAAAAAAATGGTTGGCATTGATGCAAGAAACAAACATATTCTTGATATGAAATATATTTGTTCCAAATGTTTATTATTATTACGAGATCCAGTTCAATTAAGCACATGTGGTCACCGACAGTGTTACTCATGTTTCGATACTCAGCAAGGGTAAATCTCACTAAAAAATAGCATTCATATGTTTCGTTGTTTTCTTTAGAATGATAATCAAGTGTCTACGATGTCACACAGAAATACCGCGTCATCAAGTAAAGTATCTTTTGTTTCTTTCAACACAGCACGATTGTTTGTTGTTTAGGTGATGATCGATCGAGGTTTCAAAAGTGACATGCAATCATTACCCATCGACTGTTCTTTTTGTCAGTGGTCCGATATCTTAAGTAACTACCAAGTAATATAGCATATACTTATCTTATTCCTGAATCTTCTATTCTTATCTTTCATAGGAACATCTCAATCAATTTCATCCAAATCCAAAATGTGAATATTGTGGTGCACAGTTCAACTCAGTTAATCAACTCAATGAACATAAAATCTTAGAATGTCAAAACGTGACTATCAACTGCGTGTTGAAAGAATTTGGATGTAATGAACAGGTATATTTATTCTCCAGTTAAAAACAACAGCTAAAAATCTGTTTCGTTTAAATCATCCGCGGCAAGCAGAAGGAACACTATCTGACTATACAGCATCAAGAGGCTATACTCAAAGTTGTTCGTCAAATGAGATCACAATTACTCGATACACAAATGGACACTGATGCCTTTCGAACAACAACTGCAGCAACTGGTGATGCTGCATCGGCTCAAGTGCAGGAGCTTTATGAAACACTTAACGTATTGTCAGGTGGCATTGAGACATTGAACGATGATGGACAACGCCTCAGCAATGTATCACTTCAATGTCAGATTAAACTTCAAACACTGGTAGAAGGCTTTTTGCAAATAAAATTATCTGTTGAAGAATCACAGAGTTTTTTAGAAGGAGTCAAACATAATCAAGACATTCTAAATCAAGATTTAGCCTCACTGAAAGAAAAGATCAATGATATAGAACATGTTTCATATGATGGAACATTTATATGGAAGATTACAAACTTCCAAGAGAAAATGAGTACGTTGAATAATCATTTATCGTGAATGATAAAAGTGAAAATATTTTTCGAAAGAAAAATTAGAGGATAAGATGTGATTTAGTTTTTTTGACATCAACAAATAATAAACTTATAGTTGAACATCACAATTCACATAATATATAATGACTCAAGAATGCAATACACGCGTAATATATCGATGCGTTGACGAAATAAATCATTAATGCTTTCGATCCGCCCGATTTCTTTTATACTTGCTTCTGCTCTTCTTTACTTATTCAGTTTGTTTAACTTTCAGATAATGCACAATCTGAACGACAAACATCGATCTACTCTCCGCCATTCTATTCATCACCCACTGGCTATAAAATGCGGGCACGTTTATATCTCAATGGTGATGGAAATGCTCGTCGTACACATATGTCACTCTTTTTTGTGCTTATGAGAAGTTTGAACGATCCAATTCTTAAATTTCCATTCAACTATAAAGTCACATTTTGTATGTATGATCAGACTCCAGCACAACAACATATTCTCGATTCCTTCCGACCAGACATTAGATCGAATAGTTTTCAACGACCA